TTTTTTTTTTTTTTTTTTTTTTCCCCAATGCTGAAGATATTCTTGTAATTGAATATGAGGGAATTATTAGAGTTTCTTTCTTCCTTGAGTCTGCGCCGTCTGAAATACCAAACCATGTACTTCTTCAGCTAAAATCATCAAGCTAGGTTTGGAATTCTTGTCGCAGCCCTCGAGAAGCTGGAAATTCTACTTATAATCCTATCAGTCAGCGCCTACTCTCTTTCGAAGTGCTTGAAGTCAATATTTAGTGATGAGATGCCATATTACTAAGAAACTTGTTGTACAGAGACTACTTAAATTAATAGCCTAAAATGATTTAATGAAGGATTTCTATGGTGGCGAATAAAGTACTTTGCCCGTTGTTATGTTTGGTACATAGTATTGGATGCGTTGAAACAGTATATGAATAAGATATTAGCTTCTTTTTCTTTCTTGATACCGTTCAATACTATTCAATCCTCCTTCACAAACGCTAGAATTTAAAATTGATGCTTGTATTGCTACCACTTCTTTGAGCTACTGTTCTTTTCCTTCCATCCCTCGTCGTCTTAGTACCTATTCTTGAAATCATTATTAAACTCATCTCTCTTTTCTGCATAATATTTTATCTGCTCTAGGCTCTTCTCTCGCTGTTAACGTGTTGAACTGATTAGGGCCCCTCTCTCAATTCTAAGTTCGTTGAGCTTGGTATATATACCATTTCCAATTGGATAGTAAAGCACTTCAAAGGTGGCCTATAAGGTTTTAACTTGCTAAATCTGTTGCCTTGAGGTTTGAGTTGAGTTAATTGGTGATGCTCATTTGTACTATTACGTAAATAGTGAATAAATGCTTACTGATCATGAACTGCCAATGTAATGAACACGTGTTTAGTTTTATGCTTTTTTCAAGATATTTTTCTTTTTGTTGAAAAATGTGAAAACTTATGCTTTGAATTCAAAGGTCGCTGTGCCTCCAAGTGAAAAAGCATTTCGTTGGTTTTGCTGTCAACCAGAGTCATCAACGGTGTTTCCTCTATTTTTCCTTTCAAAAGAGATGGAGAATCCAACATATAAATCACTTGCTTTGGATAGAACTCGAGGTGTTTTTGGTATTGGTTCAGCTGTCAATTTCAAGGGGTGTTTTTCTCATGGTTCAGGACAATGCACTGCCATTCAGAGGTAATCTCTTTCTTTCCCTTTGCTTCGGTCATCAATTACCATGTGATGTGTGTGTATACGTTTTCAATAAATGCATTTTAATTGTCAAAAGATTAGTTTCTGAAATATCAGAATAATTTCTGATTTCTATTCTTTCTATGGTGAAGGATCTGCGGCTGATCTTTTCAATTCAGTGAACAGCATGTGATCTTTAAGTCAAGATTTAGTTCTGGTTTTTAACTCAGTAGAGGGTTTGCTAAAAAATGTTTACATACATAATATTTCCTCAGATATCTTCCAGTTGAATCAGCAGCTTCAATGGCTTATGGTTTCTTAGATATCAAGTTTGACAAAATGTTAGCTTCCATGAAGCATGAGACGGGCACATTTTACCTTTTCATTCCACAGGTGAAAGTACATTCTTTGAGAATTAGGTTGATGGATTCCACTATTCTT